TTCAAAATGCGGCACTCCAGCGTAGTCAATCACTTGTTTATACACGCACTCGCGATTTATCTGATGGAGCCATATCACTGGCATCTCGACATCATCTGATCGAGAGATAAAAACATCTCGAAAATTCAAAACCCCGAACCGACCACGAAAAAATCCACGGAACGGATACGATATATCCGGCGGCGCTATTTAATAAATAAATTTCACTCACCGGCGTTGGATGAAAATAAGTCCGCTTTCAATTTTCACCTTTCGAACGTCTTACCTTAACTGTAAACATAAAAAAAAACAAATTGTTAATGAAATGTCGACAAAATAATTTTTTTACTGCAAAGGCGATTTTTAATTTTGATTTGAGAGTTTTTATTTTAAATTATTATTTAAAATTATTTATAACTTTTTATTTTAAATTTTTTTATTTTATTGGAGAGTTAATTGAATAATTGAAAATTGTTTGTAATGTAAGCATTCAATATATCAAGAATCAGGAATGAAAAAAATGACATGAAAATAAAATGAAAATGATGCTTCAAGGTCATAAAAAAATGCATACGAAACTCACCTTGCAGTCGGTTGCAAGATGCCCTCCAATCCTGAAGATCTCTCCATGTGATTCTGACGCCAAAGGTCGAAGTCGGCTTGGAAGCACCAGCATTTTCAAAGACAGCAGACAGTTCAAAAGTTCACTAATCACTCACCACACAACCAAGAATGTTTTATCAACTCAAAATCCACAAAGATCAATAAAATAATATCAAAGATTAAATAATATTTTTAATCCTTCGAATCTAATTCGCACTGTCACTTTAGTCCGTATCTAAACACACACTAAAAAATTCACTAAATCACTTGCACTGAGTCCCGCACTTTGTATTTTCAATGTTCACACGCGGCGCCGGTTTTTTGCGCTCACTAGGACCCCGATGTTAACGGATTTTAACTACGCGACGCGAGACTGACCGTTCTACGCGCGGGTCGCGGAACGACTGACTCCCCACTGAAAATGGCAGGGCGTTGGAGGCAGCGCTCGAGTGGGGGGTCCCCCGGCGATACTCCGCGCCTGCGCACAGAACGCTTCCCATGCGCACAGAACACCCTGCATGCGCACAGAAGACCGCTCGAGTGGGGGGTCGCCAGGCGATACTCCGTGCATACGCACGCACACCGTCGATGCGTACAGAACACCGCGGGCAGTCTCAATTTGACGAGATAAGATAATAAATAAAGACTCTCTGAGTCGACTAACGAGCAGATACCCCAGCGTTGCGTGTGGCGCCCTCCCTCTTATGGGGTCGGCTACTACGATGCCGCTGGGGTCACTCAACCCCCAGAACTGAGCCTCTACTTTGGTCAATCCTCTTTGGTTCACCAGGTCGAGACCTCGAAGGAGATCGTGGCGCCATCCCCTTCGTGGGGTGATATCTCTGGTGATATTGAGATCGGCTTGGGATCTCGTTAACATCCTGAACTCAGTCTCTACCTTAGGCAATCCTCTGGGCATTTCGTCGTTGAGTTTCACAAGTTTCGTAAACATAAGCGTACAACAATTATTTCAGTCAATACAGTTGCTAAATAAACTTGTAGTTCATGTACGTTGTGAATTATTGATTTTTAATTCTGGAATTGTTGAGATTAGAGAACATGGGGGAGTGCAGGGAATTATTTTTAGAGGGATTCGAAACTCTCGGGATTTTTTGATTATAGATTATTTTATCTCTGTAAAAATAATAAACCAATTTTTCATCAATGTTTGACCGATTTTGCGGAGAGGTGAGTGATGTGTATTTATTTAGTTTTGGAGTTAAATATATTTTTTGGGTTTGCCATGGACTGGGGACATAACCTTATGTCTGTATTTTTTTCTGTCGATTTTTTCAGTTGATTTGACATTGTGGGTGGGAGATAAAAAAAATGTCAGATTACACCAGAGGAATATTGCGAGTCGTTGTGGCTCAAATATGTCAGACCATCGGATGGCATTCGATAAACTCAACTCCACTGGAATTCATGGTCGATCTCATGCAGGAGTACTTCCTCAGGGTTTACAGATTGTCTCATCAGTATTCAGAGATTTGTGAGTTGTGTAGAATTTTCAAGTGAATCTTTCATTGTGATAATTCAAAAATTTCCAAAATTCCAGTGGGGAGAACCGAAGTGAATCTGGACGACCTGGGTCTAGCATTTCAGCACATGAACATCGATATCGAGCAGCTCTCAGAATATGTGAAGAACGTGGACTCAGTGCCCTGCGCCATATCAGTCCCGAAATACCCGATAACCCGTGAAAACCACTTGAATTTTTTGAAGCCAGGAAGCCGAGAAGTTGTGACAAGACCAGTGCACATCCACGAACATCTGCCAGCAATGCATCCAGACGAGGAAATATCGTCTGACAAGGAGCCAGAGATCGTCCAAGGCTCCCCCCAGGACAGACAGTCGACATCTCCAGGGACAGAGCCCTCGATCTCTAGTCAGTCCCCGGAGATAATCTTCAAACGTCCAGGGGATCCCCTCTCCGAGAACTCAATTGTCGGAAAACGAGCGAGAGTGGACAACGAGAGTCGACCCCTAAGGGAGATCCACAGTGTCATGATGACGACCTCAGGTTTTCTCTCTCCAGCCCGAGAGGGAAAACTCCCTGAACCCAGAACCCCAGTCCAGGCTCGACCTGATTCTCCACCCCCTGCCTCCTACCCGATGGTACCTCCTGAATTGAAATCAGAGAAGAAGATCAAGAAAATTGTAAAGAAAACTCCAGAGGACAAAAAATTGGACAAGGAGAACAAGAAGAAAAATCGAAAGCAGGAGGATCTCTTCAAGGCTGACAAGATCACTGAGCCTAAAGTAAAAAAACTCGCTGGCATGAAGGAGACAGCTAAACTCAAACCGTTGAAGTCAGCTGGGGGCAAGACATTTTCACCATCCACGAGCCCAACGCCACCAGTTCATCCTGTGCAGAAAGAGGAGTCGCCTTCGAAAGCCTCGAAGAATAACACACCCAAGAGCAAGGGCGATAAGTCATGTCCACCGATTTCCTCAGATAAAAAAGAGGATAATGTTGATAAATTGCCTTCAGAACACGATAAGCAGAAGCTGAATATTTTTAAGAAGATATCGAAACCCAGGGATGACAAATCTGATACTGTCGATCATCACAAGTACAAGGAGGTCGAGTCCAGGGCCAATTCCCCTGGGTTAGTCATTGATGAGGCTGGGGACAAACATGGGCGTGATGATGTCAGGAGGGAGGAGAAGAAAGTACCTCATACCCCTGATGCTCATGCACATGGAGACAGTGAGATAATGGATCTCAGGAGTCCTCATGATGATGTTTACATGTTCGATGATATGTCACCACCGGGAACACCCAGTACTCCGAAGACACCCGAGTTGAATGTCCCTGGGCCACCCCCGGAGACCAAGAAAAAGAGGAAAGAGAAGGGTAGTAAGAAAAAAGAGAATTTCAAGAGCCCTGGGTTTAAAGAAAGCCCTATAAAGGTATATTTATGATTAGAATTCACTATTTTTTGGGGTACGTGGTGGATCGAGACTTTTGAATAAAATATTATTATTTTCAATCAATTATTAACAAATGAAAGATAAATGAATTTTGTTAATATAAAAAATAATGGCGTCTCGCGAATTGTAAGGGGATATTTTTTTTGAGTCACGCTTCACCACTTCCGCACCGATCTCTCTTCCCAGAGGAAGACCACACTGAATCCCAGCAGTATTACTTTATTCGTGTCACCATTATTTACGTAATTATACTAACAACTTAGATAGGATAAGCCCACGAGAAGTATCTATTAATCATAACTCCATTTGCTTCCATCTTAGGATAAATCATCTCATTAGTGTAAGGCTCGAATCGATTGGGAAAATCGATTGTCAATAATTTTCGTAGACATAGATAGCAATACTCACAAGTCGAATCAATTACCTGAATCGAGAGGAATTATTTATTTATTAGATTTAACAGAATTATGTCCAAAATAACGAATATTTTTCGAATAAAAGAAAGTATAGATAACACCTAGCATTTAATACATTCACTCATTCACCCAATCATTCATCATAAATCGAGATAATTAATTAAACCTATCAGATGGGGAATCAGTGTAGTATTCCTCTGAGCAGAATGATCATAATGAATTTGTGCCTGATATTTTCTCAGAATAAAGTGGTGCATGATATCGTGGAGGAAGTTCTTGGGAGGCCAAAGACCCCAGAAGCCCTGGAAACTTGTATTCCCAAAGACAGGGGAATACCACCGAGTTTTCCGTATTTTCCACCGTTTCCAGCGGCCCCTGGGCTCATTCCCACTGGACCGCTTATTCCACCAGGACCAGGACTCATACCCCATGGGCTGCCACCCATGTTCACGAGGTTTCCACTTCCACTGGGACGAGGTATGCCACCAGCACCACCAATTCTCCAGCACTTGCCATTGTCACGTCCACCTTTTTTGCCACCTGGCAATATGAAGATCATTCCACCGAGGTTTGATTCGTTTCCTGCTCCAGGACCGAGTCATCAGCCTCCACCACCGAAAGTGGACAAGGTGGAGAAACCAGAAAAACCTGATAAGGTAAATTTTTTTTGAGTCAAGTGGTGGAAAGATGAATTCTCAGGTAACTCAATTTCGGTTAGTGCTTGGAGAATATCTCTCAAACTAGGGGTGATAGCGATATTTTTGTCATTACCTTTTTCCGAGTTCTCGAGTACCTCTACAAAAAAGGATTTAACGAAAATTTTCTCATCTCCCTCAGTTTTGGAGATATTTACTTTGGAAAATTCGGTGATAACGAGAAGGTATTAATAATAATGAAAAAACATTCGATCTCTTAAATATTGATTTTCGTTTTGTTCAATTAATCTTGTAGAAAGCGAAAAAACACAAAGTCGATAAAAAGGACAAGATAAAGAAGAAGAAAGACAAGAAGGAGAAGCATAAGGAGAAATTGGAAAAGAACAAGGAGAAGAAAGAGAAACTTGAGAAAATAAAGGAGAAGAAGGAGAAGAAAGATAAGCGAAAGGAGAAGGAAGAGAAAGAGAAAGAAAAGGAGAAGGAGAAGGAAAAAGAAAGTGAGAGTGTGCCGAAGATTACACTCAAACTTGGTAAATCATCACCGAGGCCACCCACTCCGGATAATCCATCGATGAAAAAAATGTAAACATCATCCACTGAAAAATTCCACCATTCGTAAATGAATTTGGATTTAATGATGACTTCTTCTTTTCAGAACAATTAAACCACTTGTGAAAAAACCTGAAGATGTTGTCAAGAGAGAATCTAGTCCGGAATTAGCGAAAATTTCAGCTTTAGTGACGAGACCTCCAAAACCCAAAATTCCGAGTAAGAACTATTTGTTTATATTCCTGTTTTATAATAACTCTTGCAAAAATAATATTATGAATATTATTAACGAATTAATATTATGAATATTATGAATATTATTGTTCATCACTGTATTTTATTTTTTTTTTCACAATCCATTTCACGTTTTCTTTTCAGAAATCAAAGCAGAGAAGAAAGAAGAAATCAGAGATCATGCACCTGTAGTATTACCAGACCGTCCAGTTGCAACAATTGTAGATAACACAGGGCACCAGGTCTGGATTTGTCCGGGTTGTGGAAATCAGGATGATGGTTCTCCCATGATAGGATGCGATGATTGTGATGCCTGGTATCACTGGTACGAAATTGATATTTTTATTCCGATTAAATTCTATCTTCAATTTCTAGTTTAAAAATAAATGCCATTTTTATGCCATATGATTTCAGGGTGTGTGTTGGAATGCAAGTTCCCCCAGCTGACGACGAGAACTGGTACTGCCGAATGTGCATAACAAAAAAACAAGAATTACATCATGATAAGAAGAAAAACAAGAGAAAGAAAAAAGTTAAAATAGCAGTGTAAATTTAATAATAATTATAAAATTTCTTTCTCAAATATGAAGTTGTTTTATGAGAATTTCTGTTGCAACTCCCGGTAGTCACGATAAAATTCATTCAATTTACTTTTTTCATTTTCACTTATTTTTCTTTTATTATGAGTGACAACCTGACGTTGGGATTATTCAATAGAAATTAGTTAGGGGGTAGTTGCTAGAGAGTGAGACTGTCCAGCTCTACCCAAAACTGAAAATGAGATTTTGAAAGTATCTCAAATAAAATATTGATAAATCTCAAGCAAAAATCTTTGTAATCATAAAATAAGTTTTGACTTTTTTTTTAATATATAATTTTTTAATTTATATCCGAATCATTGACTCTGATCTGATCGATTGTTATTGTTTATGTTAATTATAACTGTTGAATCATGACATTAAGCCATTGAGAGTAATAAAATTATTCCACTCATTATTCAATCAGCATTTCCGATAAATTATCGACGGCAATGAAATTCGAATTAGTCCCTCACACGATGGGATTTTGTTTCGAGGAAATTGAGGCCCGAGACGAAGTTGTTCCAGGATACCATGATAACGTTGTCAATTCCACTTTAATTGATTCCGAGAAAGCGAAATTGCGGTAATTAGTGATGGGCAATCGTTTAACTTCACCAAAGGGCTCCTGTGCTCCGATCGATGAGAATCCTTTGAGGAACTCGAGACTTCCCATCATCTTCATCCTTGGAGGACCAGGAGCTGGTAAAGGTGAGCTCCATCCTGTCGGCGAGAATAGCAAGGGTGAAACGATTTATTCCACATATTGGCTGCCCCATGGTACGCTATAAGAATTTAAATTCCTCCCAAATTACTTCCTCCCTCGACAAAAAATTAGTATCACAATAAATCAATCAATCGATTCCTCATCGATAGCACAAATTAAATATTACGATTTTTTTCCGCACCGATAGATTAATTGAACCGATAGATTAATTGAAAAAATTAATTGAACTGAATGAATTATCAAATCAGCAGTCGAAATTATTGAATCGAAAATTTTCTTCGCATTATCATCTTCAGGGACACAATGCGAACGACTAGCGCGAAAATATGGCTATCTCCATATATCGAGTGGTGAACTTTTGCGAGAGGAAGCTTCAAAATCCACCGAGCGTGGCCTAATGATTGACAAAATGATGGGACGTGGTGAGCCGATACCAGTGGAGCTACTCCTGGAGTTGATAAAGGAAAAAATGATGTTCTCCCTGAATTACACGAGCGGCTTCATTCTGGACGGCTATCCCCGTGAAAAATCCCAAGCGAAGCTCTTTGAAAAGGCTATTCGTACCCCAGACGTAGTAATCTACTTAAAGGCTGATGAACGTCTTCTAAGGGAACGACTTTTAGGTCGGGCGATTACGTCAGGACGGAAGGACGACAACGAAGAGACAATTGGGAATCGAATAAAATTATTTGCCCGGAAGAATCGAGGGATTCTTAAATATTACCGAAAGGCTTTTGTCACTATTAATGCTGAACAAGACATGGAAACCGTTTTCAATGAACTCTCAGCAGTCGTTGATAATAATGCAGGTACATCTCAATTCAATCGGATCGAATAATTGTTCTCTTTCAATCGCTCCTCTCCAGAAATTTATGCCGATTGCCTTATGTAACTTAAATCGCATATAGAATATTTTTCAATTAACATTCTGCACTGCTCTTCACGAGAACGCAACGGCACAACGATATCTCAATTTCTACGATCTCCAAGAGTTTTCTGAGTTGATAATAAAATTGTCAATAAAAATTCTGAACAGAAAAAAAAATCATTTAACGATTACGAGGCTCGTAATTTCAAAAATTCGAGTTGTGAGTTCGAGTTGTGACTCGAATCGTAACTCAATCCGTACTCACGACAGCTTAAAAATTCGAATAATCAATTTATGAAGGACAATCTTTCCCCAAATATTCATCATCTCCCCTGAAAATCAATTACCGTTCTCAAAGAGTACTCAAGTGATGATAACGATAATTTCCCAGTAGTAAATTAAAGCTGACTCGAGCCTTTGAATTGCTGAAAAATGAATATTACATTCGCCGATAATAGTGAAGATATTTATTCCCGGCATTTCGGAGTGTGAAATTGAAAGACCAGACTGGTACTCCAAGGGGAAACATTTCCAAGTTTGGCTTGTGCAATTGGTGACAAACGAAAGACCGTGTCAGAGGGTAATCCTATTGGTGGACGACAGTGTCACGACGTTGCATTACCATTGGCCGTTCTTTGTGTGTCATGGGCGTGGCCTGGTCGATGTAACAGTGAGTGGGTTGGGAGGGGGGCTGTTGAATATAGGTACAACCACCCCCTGACGTTTTCATCCCCCCCGCCCTCTTCGCCGGTGGAGGGTGGAATACGATTCCTCGTGCTCTCTCACAAACACCACGGTAAATCCAGCATGGCGGACGCACAGAGTCAAAGTACCTCTTTTCACCCTCTACCCCTCGTCCATCCACAATCACCCACTCACCCCCTGACAACTGCGCTCTCTCATCCACCGCCGGGGGTGGCGATCTTACCCGGGGACTTCTGGAAAACTGATTACGGTGCACACCAGGGCTCCCAATGTCGACACCCGACGAACACTTCAGGAGTCGGAAGTTCGATCGAATAATTAATTATACTATACAGTCGAATCCTTCGCTTTTGCAACCCCTTTTTCAGGGGTGATCGTGTTTTCGTGTTGTCAACATTTGGCGGAGGGGCTCATTAAAATAACCGTTAATTCGGCCAATTTTTTTATTCCATTTTTTAAGCTCATACCTGTCGAACAGTTATTTCGACATTATTGGGATTTTTTTAATTCAGTGATTCATTGGTTTTGGGGAATTCAATGAAATTTAAGTGGTCGTAGCAAATTTATCTCTTTATTATTCAGAATTACATCGATTTATATTTTTAACAATAATAATAATACACGAATTGTTATTTT